ATAAGATGATACACCGACGAGTCAACAACGGTCGATGTAACGTTATTGTTACGCGCATAATATAATAATAAGCCTAATAATAATATTATGTCGACACTAATACACTATTACCCATTATGACAKMTCGCGGTTGCCGAAAAATCGGAGAGAAAGCAGTCGAACACACTTGAGGTACGACGGGATACTCGTCGCGGTAATAGATCATAATATGCAACAACGATGACAACAATAATAATAATAAAACCTATGTATATATAATACGTTATATTGTTAGGTACCTAAATATAGGTACTCGATTCCATAGATTTGTTTTTCGTGACCGACACACGCGTTGCGTACTCGCGTGTCGTTTTATATAAATAGTTCATAATACATCATAATAATATTATTTAAACACCTGCAGCAACGGCAGCTGTCTCAATCGTTACATCTGACGTTTTATGGTTGCGATCTCCGGCGCCGTCGAGACTACGGAGATCGCTTTCACKCCCGTCCGGTCCACATAATAACAGCAGGTAGTGTGCACTGTGCTGGTATATTATATTATTATATCGACGAAATCGGATACGATCGCGAATAAAAATTTGACAAATATTATAATGGTGAAATATAGAAAAAATAATAACATTATTTTATACTTCCCAGTCTTCCCACGCCGCGATGATCAATAGCAGTATACTACACTTACAACATCACTGGTCGACGTAGGACGTGTAGTTGTCATCTTCATTATTATCATCATCATCATCATTCGTCATTACTCATTATTACGCGCACGGCACACCTAATTAATATATTTCATATTATGCACAGGTAATGATATAAAAAGGGCGGCAGTAGAAGGAGTACCACGTCGTAAGTACCTACATATATAATAAAATAATATTATAATGGATGTGTACTTATAGTGTAATAGTGAATACATAACATAATAATAATAATATACACTGTGTCTGTTCTCCGTTTAAATGTTAGTCTCCTGCAGTTATTCGTCTTACTACAATATCGACCTAGTAGGTATATAATATATATAAACACAAACCTCCTACTTAACTTTAGTGATGCGTAACGACGTTAAATCAAAAGTGTCTGTTCGCAATCCATATATATATATATATATATATATAGTGTATGTTTGTGCATATGACAGGTTGGGTTCCATGTAATACATCCTACATATTATTATTATATAGTGTATTATTATTTGTTATTATTTTGTTGCCGTTATTTTTCTAGAGAAAGCGCCATTCCGACACGACGTATTTATTTTCATATCGACACGTCATCGAAAACTGCTTCTAAACTTTTCAGTTTACAAATATATTATATTGTGTTAAATGGCCATAAAATATATTATATCATGTCATGACGGTTAGTGTTCGTCGTAAAAATATTCAACAGCTGACTTAAGTTCTTCGTTTAATTTCTGTTTTCCTGCGCTGACGAATGACGATCTGTATTTATTTGCACTATGTTTATTTTGTTGTTGTGTTTTACTTTTGAATCGAAGTTTAATATCACATTGATTAATTTTATTTATTTAATAAATCGAAAATGYTGTAGGTAACAGTCGGCGTGTGACTTGCAAAAGTTAAGAGCACATTTTTCAATCTCAAATGACAAACTCAGCTCTTATAATACTGCTTGCAGTTTATAGTTTAGAAATATAGCGACAAAAGGACAACATATAAGAAACTAAGAACACATACATAATATAATAATATATAATGTACTATATTAATATAACATGAAATAAGTCGTGTTCGAGTAACCATAAAATARCGAAAATAATAAAGTTCTAACAATAATTGAAAATTATATGTTTTTCGATTTAAACTGCTTTCTTKTCGTAAAAATATATAATATATAGATATAATGCATAGGCAAACTTTGTAAGTAATCGGTACTTTACTGTGTAATTTTTCTTTTGGAGCGTAGAAAACTTCAAAAACCTTTTCAATCTGATCGATCACTCCGGAAACAAACGGTTTAAAGAAGAAAAAACGTGGTCTCATCTTATTTTATTTTTTACGACTATGCTATAGACCCCAAACGTCTATATCAGAATATATTGGGATCAAAACTTTTACCTACAAGAGCGCACATTTTGTACAATTCTCTTGAGTCTATTCCGTTGTCATATAGGTGTTATGTATTTATACTGAAATTTTTATGCTGACATATTATTCATACTAAAAAATCCGGTATCCTGTACATTATATGCCACTGTGCAGAGTTCACATCTGAATTTTAAATTTACTTTTTGAATAAAATTCCCGTTTATAGTACATGATGATAATACATTCTTATACAAGTAAAATAATGTTTGAAATAGGTAATGATATTTTGTTTAAAACGTGATGATCATTATTATAATACAACCAATACCTATTATAAACATTGGGTAATTCTAATAAATTATATTATTTTGAAACGTAAATACGCTTCCTCGTAGTATCGAATACAACTATTTGCAATAAAAACATCCATTATCCGTGCGATTAACACATTTAAAAATTACGATTTGTTTATATTTAATTAATAGTTTGTAATTTTATTCATATTCAGGGTCAGTTTAGTTGTTAATTAGAGAGGAAAACGTTTTGACCAGCCCGTATAACTGAACAAAAAACATTTCGCTGATTTCCATTTCCATTTTTATGTCGAAGCAATTCCCGTCATATATAACTTTATGTGTGTCTCATTCTACACAAAAAATAGCCTCATTTTATAGCAAAAAAGACGTGAGAAGTTAAATAATTATGATACCTTCCTAAGTGGCGCCATTCTAGATTTTTCTATAGGGTTCGAACAAATTAATTTAYAACATAAAACACGGATCACTAAAACGTAATGGAAAAATGGAAAATATTGTAATATTATAAAAGTATTTTTTTAAATCATGGTTAATTTTAAAAATTGAATGTTTTGTTTATAGAATGTCTATTACATCTGAATTCTGAATATCAACGCTTCTGCCCCTTATATATTATATTTGAACTAAAAAAACTATGAATATTTATTATCATTAGGTATGACCATAATAAATTGTCTAGTGCCTACACATAACTTAATATTTTCTCGAAACAAAAATATCGTAGTTTTGTTTTTTCATCAATAATACTTGCCCAATTAATGAACTGCTTTTAAAATCAGACTTGACATATTATACTCACTTTGATCCTTTAACATAACGCCTCTATTCAGGGTGACTAGCAATCTTAGGTAATGATATAAGCGGTGCAAAATAATTTTCGAAGAAAATACTTATAAATACCTAAGACATCAAAAACACAGCCACTTCGCAAGAATACCAATCGATACCTATTTAATTAACTTGACTAACAAGAAAACAATGAAMACATATTTTCATTGGTTTATTTCATTTAAATGTTCCTCAATTTATTTATGTACAAGAAATATAAAGGTAAAAATATTGTAAGACTGAGAAGAGTACCTTAAAGTGCAAATAATATCATGCAAATGTTTATATTTAGAAATATTGGTATAACCTCYTCTAAGTAAATAAATAATTTAAATAATTTCAAAAAATGTATATTAAAACGTAGACAATAGAACATTAATTGTTAGACTTTCAATATAGAATAAGTATTAACTAAATCAACTTTTATATCATAAATTGTTAATAACATAAACACATACTCAGCAGTACCCACGTATAACATGATATAATTTTGTTTGATTAAATAAATTTTAGAAAGTGCATAATTTATTTGCATTGAATATATTATAATCCATTCATTTATATGTTTATTCAAATATAAATATTTTAATGTTTAGTGTAACTATTACATAAAGCACAAATAGTGCATTATACTATCATAGCTCATTGTAAGATATTAAAAAAAAAAAAAAAAAAAAAAACATTTACATTTATTTAGGTATATAAACCAAGATTGGTACTCGTTATATTAACCAATTGGTTTCAGAAATATTTACATAATATTATACAATATATAAATACATTAAGCATTATTAATATTTAAGCATACATATTAAAATGTTATAACACATTTAGTCGGAACTAGATATAAGACTTAAAAACTTCAATGTTTGTTTACAATCTAACTAGGTACCTAGTATATTTTTTTCCAACGAAAAGATATTAGTTATCAGTAGTATTTTAGAATTTCAATTAGTACTTTACGCATTAACTTATACGGACCGGTAAATCAATAAGTAACCAGTACACATTGACCAGGATGCAATCTTATCAGTAATCAGTAATCACATAAGTATTATTTATAGATAGTTAAAAAACATATTAAATAAGAACACTAATAATTTTTATCGGGAGACCACGATACAAATATTGTAACATGTAATGATGGTTTAACTCGGCGATCGGAAAAAATCATCCAATAACAGGTTATTTTTTTAGTTGTTATTTCGAATATTATTAATGTTTTTCAACATTTATTTTGACATGCATAATTTCGAAACAACTTTTTTGATAAATAATTATATAACTTTTTTTCTTTTTTATAAATAAGTTGTTTTACGTTTTCGAATGACATTCATTATAATTTCATATTTCCAAGCAGAATATCTTTCTGGGAGTTGCAAACGAGTTCTTAATTAAAGTTATACGAATTGAGTATATAAATACTTATTTAAAGTTTAATTGAGCAAAGTACCCCTGCGCTACTGTGCACCGTTCATATAAACATTAAAAACTTATATAAATTATAAGTTTTAAAACTTAACAGATGATAACTACTCGTTGCAAATTCGATTTTTATAAAAKAATTAAATTTTCAGTATTTGATCATGAAACCGAATACTATGTATGATTTCGTTTAAAAAAATATACAACGTTTAAAAATAGTAAAAAATGTTGTTTAAGTTCAAATAATTAAAAAAGAAATATTGTATTCCAAAAAAAATTATAATAATAGAGGTGACGAGTGCTGAGTGTCAAAAGCTCATCACCCTGTAAGTATACCGCGTAATCAAGAATAAATAATTGTGTGACTTACCTATATAGGTTTTAGGGACGGAGTTGATCCAGTGATCGTGTAGGCAGATTTCGGAAAATAATCCTCGGGGTAGTGGTGGCGATCGAGTTTGTGAAACCGCGTAAATAAAATAAAACGGCGGCAGAGCACGTGTACGATCGATTCGCCCGTTTTGTCACTACAGCGGATATGTGTCTTAAGCGAAATGCGTTTCAAAGAGCGTCCGGTTCGGTTCCGGTCGGTCGGTCTTGTGGTGGCACAACAACAGCAACAGCAGTAGTAATAGCAGCAGCAATGGTAATTGTAGCAACCGTGGTAGTAGTAGTAGTAGTAGTAGTAGTAGTAGTAGTAATACGGGAATGCGGTGTCCGTCTGGTAAATCCCATGGCCGACTGGACGCACACGGCGTGCAACATTATTACAAAACCTTCATCGTGAAACACTTTCACCGGGAACGTCATCGCGTTCCCACCAATCCGCAAACCGCCGGAACTGATAATAACTTTGCAGTCGGAGTGGCGGACATGCGTTACAGCAGTGGGCATAATATATAGGCAGGACGTGATAGTTGGACGCCGAAATGACAGACGGTCAATAAAGGCAAGTCGTAGGATTTGGCCGACCTAATCGTCGTCACCGTGTGTATACCTACATACCCATTACATATAGGTAATGTATACAATATGCACACCGCAGTCGCCCACACAGATCCGAATGACGTCACGCCAAGGCGGGAGTTTCCCGCGCGCATCGGCCGAATAAGTCGATCACGACGCAACAAGAATATTACCATCAGTCAGAGGTCAGGCACACTTAATATTATACAGAAAACAGGCTGACAGACATTTTACAATACTAATATATAGGTATGGAATATTATGGTATCCCAAACTCAAACGCGTCATTTTTCAGAAACTCTAGAGCAGAGGTCACCAATTAATACTTTCTGTGAGCCGATTCTCGAATTCTCGATGGCCATAAAAATGCAAAGTACACAATATTTATT